ATAACTGACCCCTGAACCCCATAACTGACCCCATAACCCCATAACTGACCCCATAACCCCATAACTGACCCCTAATCCCCCATAACTGACCCCATAACCCCATAACTGACCCCATAACCCCATAACTGACCCTCTCCATCCCCTGCAGCTCCACGGTTGCCCAGCCCTCCGAGATGCCGCCGTCGCCGCTGGTGTGGGAGTGAGCAGAGCAGCCCCTACTACTGAAGATGTAATGTAGCTTTCCACTGGAGTCTGGGATTTGCAATTCTGGAGGTTAATCATGCTTGTACTGTAATTTTACTAATGAAGTTTTAAATTAACAACCACTACTTGTACAATATGAATAATATTTAGAAATGTACTAGACTTTTAATCTTGTAAAGTGGTTGTGCTTTTAGAAGAAAATATTTTACCCAGAGTTGCACGTGTTTTATGAATTCTAGTGCAGCTGTGATGGCTCAGCTCAGAACAAACAGAATTGAACCAAATTCGGGGAGGTTTTTTCTTTTTTTTTTTTTTTTTTTTTTTTTTTTTTTTTTTTTTTTTTTTTTTTTTTTTGAAGTGAGATTGTACAAACAGATAGACATACATTTTGATATTGAGCCATTCCTGAAGATTTGGGGTTTTCTAAAACTTAAGGAATACAGAAAACTTGACTGCGACCAATCATGAAGTCCCTTTGGGTGGCTGTGGCCATGGGAAGTGGCCTCGTCCCCTGATGCCCAACCCTATAAATAGCTTCTCACTAGAGCTGTGATGGTGATGTGTGCTGTTCTAAAATCAAATGTTGTGAGTAGAGAGAATGAGTTTGTGACTAGGAGAGACTAAACTTCTGTTTCCTTACCCAGTATAAATATATATATATATTTAATCTATTTTTATTAGAAGTTTTTCTGCTCTTTCTTACATAAAACCCCCCAGCATGCATCTTCTATGTGTGTAAATAATTCCATTTATGGGCTAATTTCAGAGATCCCTGACATCATTGCTGTATAGAGAGAAACTAGCTTGCACATTTTAGGTCTGTGAAATTTTGTGAGAACTTTTTCCTGCACTGGACAGTTGAGAGAAAAAAAAAAAAGAAAAGGACAAAAAAAAGCACATAGGGAATTCTGTTAATTGTGTTCGTGTCTTTAGGCAAAGCTGTGGAAGTCTTGAAATGTCACAGTAGTAAATAACTTTTATTACTTTTTGGCTAATTCTTTTTTCTGTTGGAACACTGAATTCTGTGCATATGTATATATGAACACAAATTGAAGGCCTCTACCTCCTGGAGTATACAACTTGGTTTGTTTACCTCCACATGATTTTTTTTTTTTTAAGTTCAGTGTGGAGACTTGAAACTTGAATGTCCCTTCCAACTTTTGTATTTAAAACAAGACTAGAAAATTGAAGACTGTTTTTCACCTGTACAAAGGAATACTAAAAGGTGGTCTTAAAATTTGAGCCTTGGTCTGGAGAGAAACCGTGGTGTTTGTTATGGACAATTAACTGTTAAAGTTATTGTAAGTTATCTGTATTTAGCAGAGTATTTTCAACAAGAGTGATCTGAGCTGGAATTGGAGACTATTAGTAAGTTATGTTTGGAAGTTTTAACTTCAATGAAGTAATTATTTGCTGTGAAAGAGACAAACATTGAATAACTGAACAAAGATGGTGCAATATCTTTGTTTTTTATGAGGCTCCTGAGAATAAAACCAACTGAAGCATTTCAATTCACTTGAATGAGAAACGTGTTTAATTATCGAGCCCCAGAAGACACTGGTATGAAAGGTAAAATCTCAGAGGTTGGTCAGTTAATGTGGCACACTTGCTGGTCACTTTGTAAAATGTAGATTTGGAGTACAGTGGTGAAAACATTAAATGTGACATTTGAAAACGCAGTGGCAGCGTCGTTATTTGGTGTCTGAGCTGCCCCGGGCTGTTGGGTCTTTGTCACGTTTCACGTTCTCCCGCTGGCTGTGCCGGGCCGGGCCGTGCTGATCCCGGCTYGGTGCGGGACCGGGAGAGATTGATCCTGACCGGGGCGGCTCAGCGGGTACCGGGGAGAGCCGGACCCTGCAGTGCCGGGCGGGATCCGAGCGGGTACCGGGGATCCTGCAGTGCCCGGCTGGGCCCAGCGGGAACCGGGGGAGAGCCGGACCCTGCAGTGCCCAGCCGGGACCCGAGCGGGTACCGGGGACCCTGCAGTGCCCGGCGGGACCCGAGCGGGTACCGGGGGAGAGCCGGACCCTGCAGTGCCCGAGGGGACCCCAGCGGGTACCGGGGGGACCCTGCAGGGCCCGAGGGGATCCCAGCGGGTACCGGGGGGATCCTGCAGTGCCCGGCTGGGACCTGAGCGGGTACCGGGGGAAGCCAGACCCTGCAGTGCCCGGCGGGACCCGAGCGGGTACCGGGGGAAGCCAGACCCTGCAGTGCCCGGCGGGATCCGAATGAGTACCGGGGGGAGCCAGACCCTGCAGTGCCGGGCTGGGACCCCAGCGGATACCGGCGGGACCCTGCAGTGCCCGGCTGGACCAGAGCGGGTACGGGGGGGATCTTGCAGTGCCTGGCTAGGACCTGAGCTCAGCTCGGCTGGGACCCGTGCTTAGGGCCGGGACCCGAGCGGGTACCGGGGGGGCCCTGCAGTGCCCGGGGGGACCCGAGCGGGTACCGGGGAGATCCTACAGGGCCTGGCGGGGACTCCAGCGGGTACCGGGGGCATCCTGCAGTGCCCGGCCGGGACTCGAGCTTAGCCTGGCTGGGACCCCAGCGAGTACCGGGGGGACCCTGCAGTGCCCGGCTGGGACCTGAGCGGGTACCGGGGGGATCCTCCAGTATCCGGCGGGGACCCGAGCGGCGTGTACCGGGGGAGCCAGACCCTGCAGTGCCCGGCTGGGACCCGAGCTTAGGGCCGGAGCAGCGGAGCGAGCAGCGCTGGAGCTGCGGGGCTCGGAACGGAGGGGGCGGAGCCATGACAGTGGGCGGAGTCAGTCCGGAGGGCGGGGTTATGCCGGTGGGCGG